AAAATCCTATAACTTAGCAAACAAAATGCTTGTACGTTTTTTCGATATTTGTTTGAAATGTGCAAAAACTTGTTTAAATGTATAAATTTTATTTTACATAAATAAAAAGCTTATAAAGTTCTCTGCGTTTACCAAATTTTAAGTTTTGGAACAAAAATATGACGAAAAAAATCGTCAAACTTTAAAATCATACAATTTTGCAAACAAAATGTCGTAGGTTTTTTGACTGTTATTTAAAATGTGCAAAAACTTGTTTAAATGCATATAGTTTATTTTATATAGTTAATAAGCTTATAGAATGCTCTACAAAACTGCATTTACCAATTTTCAACTTTTGGAACAAAAACATTGCGAAAAAAGTCGTCAAACTTTAAAATCTGAAACACACAACTTACATACATAAATATTTATTAAAAAAATAAAACAATTACTTACACAATGAATGTCCTAAGAGCACATTCCATTAATGTAAACTTTAATGAATTTATATAATTAAAACACTTTTCATAAGTCTATAATATTTAAAAGTTAAAACTATTTGCATATCACATTTATCATAAAGTTCATCAATACAAAACTATATCCTTAATTATCCATTTTAAGTAATTTATTCTTATTCAATTTTAATAATTTATTATATAAACACCAATAAGTATTTTGATCACACTTTCACTTCAATTTATTTCTATTATCATGAATTCTTTTTAATATATTTTCTACCATAAGTCAAGAATAGATCTTTAACTTTTCCACAATTTGTAGTTGAATTAGTTTCAACAAACTTTTCAACGATTGCTAAGAAATTTTGGTACGGATCACTTGTTATGTCAAAATTAGCCATTGCTTCATAAACTGTATGAAATATGGGTTGTTTTAAGGAATGGAAGTAGCCTCTATCTCCGTGTAACACAATAACACCTTCATAAGGTTCTTGTGGGTTGCAAACGCTCATGTACATACAATGATCCGGTCTGTAGTTGAAAAGACAAGGAAATACGTAAAGTTTATCAGATTGGTAATGGAAAATTATGTTGATTATATCTTGGTCGCCCCACGATATTTTGTTTTTGTACTTTTGGTAAATGGGTAGCAAGTATTTGGACCATTGAAAGTGTCTCATGCGTGTTAAATTCATGAGCATAACTCCAGAATTAACTCCAAGTTTTCCATAATAAGGATGCTTTGCAAATCTATTATACCAACCGACATTTGGATCTTCATGCTCAGGTGATAAACCGGCTAGTTGTGTTGCATTAAATTCTTTAAAAAGATTCCAAGTGATATACAAAGGCGCCCTAAAAATAGTATCAGTATCTACATACAGTACAGAATCAATGTCTGTTAACAAATCTGGTAGGAACAGTCGTGTGCAGCACAAGGCTTAAACAAATTTTTCCATCTTTATTATTTTTTACAGGAAACGATAGTTTTTTCAACTCGTAGCTCAAAGTTGTATTGACAGTCCATTTATTCAGCAACCTTGTCTATGTCAAAAAGTAGATTGTTTTCAGCAAATATTATAAATTTGAGTCTTGCATTCATTGAAAATACTATTGCTGATTTGAGCATGTTAAGGCTTCGTTTAAACGTCCCCACAAACCACACATGCTATAATAATATCAGGGGTTATTGTAATATATTTATTTACTATTTTAAATTATTTAATGGCGGTTTTGATATGAAAGGTTTTTGTATTTTATGTACAGCAAAATGTATATCACAAACATGGCACATAAAATTGGTAAAATCACACGTAAAACACTGCGCTTTTTAGAACACATTTTTAAACTATTATACACATATATATTTATTTTAATAATAATACTTTAAATTAATTAATACTTGAGATTTATTTAAATGCATTTTTACAGCAAAGTTTGATTGTCAAAATAATCAAACTACCAACTGTCAAGACATAGATACTTTTTTCGCGTTGCTGTCAAATACCAACATTAGTATGACGTTTCCAATCCATCGAACAAAAATATTAGTGTCTATGGTGCATGTTCTAAAAACATGTGACAGTTGAGGTTAACTTCACAAAACAAAAATAATATATTAATTTGTTAATTATAAAAGTATTTTAATAAAAATGGAACATCAATTTAGTGATGATGAAAGTGCAATAATACCTGACAACAAGCTAAATGTAACTATACTATGTATTCAATAAATTTAATGTTTCGTCTTGCAAGTTTTTTATAATTACTTTCCAATTTTATTATTATTTTAGGATCTATCTAAAGATTTGCACAAATTAAAATGTGATGTAGACGAATATATATCAAACGATGACGAAAACGATTACTCCTCAGACGAGGAGTATGACACCTGGGAGACTTCAGTGGATTACCAAAAATCTCACGCACTTTACCAAACAAACGATTCAAATCACGTCAACTCCCACAACAGCACCAAACTCACAAGTTATCAACCCCAAGAAAACGTCTTTAAAAAGTTCACCAACAAAATCAATTTAGAAAAATACGAAGGGCCTTCTTTGCCCGGACATGTTGTCAACACTTTAATAGAAAATAACAGGAAATACGATGCTTCCAGGCTTAGAAAAAAAGATAAAAACGATCGTGCTACAGTTGAACAAGTCATGGACCCTAGAACCAGGATGATTTTGTTTAAAATCCTTAACCGTGGTGCTATTACAGAAATCAACGGTTGTATATCAACAGGCAAAGAAGCTAACGTTTACCATGCGACTTCTTCTGATGGTTCAGAATACGCAATAAAAATCTTACAAAACATCTATTTTAGTTTTTAAAGACCGTGACAAGTATGTAACTGGTGAATTCAGGTTTCGTCACGGTTATTGCAGACATAATCCGCGCAAAATGGTTAACACGTGGGCTGAAAAAGAAATGAGGAATTTAACAAGAATGAAAAGTGTTGGTTTACCTGTTCCCGAACCGATTTTGCTCAGAAGTCATGTGCTCTTGATGGAGTTTATAGGTGTGGACGGTTGGCCTTCGCAGAAACTTAAAGATGCTGGGTTGACTGAAACAAAAGCAAGAGAACTTTACCATGATATCGTTGTTATGATGTGGACAATGTATAATAAATGCAAACTTGTCCACGCAGATCTTTCTGAATTTAATTTGTTATACCACAAAGGCAAGATTATTATTATTGATGTATCACAATCAGTGAACATGATCACCCACATGCTTTGGAGTTTCTGCGCAAAGATTGTTCTAATATCACTGATTTCTTTAAGAAAAACAAAGTTGCAGTGATGCTGGTGAAGGAACTTTTTGATTTTATTACTGATCCTACAATAAATGAAGAAAATATGGAAGAATATTTAGAGAAGATATCTCTGATGGCTTCTCAAAGAGACGTAACAGCAGAAGAACAAGTAGATGATGAAGTTTTCAAAAACTCATACATTCCACAAACATTAACAGAGGTAATTGACATAAAATCAGTATTACTTTAACTTGTTTTTTTTATAATGTGTTGCTTTTAGGTTGTAGATTACGAAAGAGATATAAACTTAGCTAAGTCCGGAGGGGCAAACTTAGTTTATCATACACTTTCTGGTCTGAAACCGGACTTATCTGCTACAAATGAAAAACCTGTCATTCTAGATGAAGGTACAACAAGTGAAGACGAATTAAATAGTGGAAGCGACAGTGAATCAGGCACAGACAATTGTGAAGAAGGTAAATAATTTACTTATATTTGTATTATTAATACACCATAGTAAAAATACTAGCCGCATTAGATTTCTATTAAAGTCCACATTTCAACTACAAATTATTCACAATTTCAATATCAAAGTGCATGAAACATTTTTGACTAAATTTTAGTATATTTTATCTAGTTTTTACTAATGTAAGCAAATTATAATGTCCGGAATGAAAATTAAAAGTTATTTGGCCAAAAGTAACAAAATGTCTAAATCCATATACTGCATGTTATAGAAATACTAAAGTCCGCGTTTCAACTACAAATTATTCAAAATTTCAATATCAAAGTGTATATATATGTTTTTAATAGATTTAAGTAAATTTTATTTAGTTTTTACTAATGCAAACTAATTATAATGTCCAGAATAAAAATTAAAAGTTATTTGACCAAAACTAAAAAAATGTCCTAAATTTATGTATTGCAAGTTATAGAAATATGAAAGTCCGCGTTTCAACTACGAATTATTCAAAATTGTGATACCCAAGTGTATATAACAGTTTTTACTAGATTTTAGTAAATTTTATCTAGTTTTTATTAGTGCTAACATATTATAATGTCCGGAATGGAAATTAAAAGTTATTTGAAGAAAAGTAATGTGTAAATGTACCAAATCCACGTAAAAATACTAAAATTTCAATATAAAAATAAACGAAACAGTTTTTACTAGATTTTGGTAAATTTTATCTACTTTTTACTTATGTTAATATAGGTTGTCAAATATCTCCCTTCCGCTTTTTTGCTCTTGGTTTATAATACAAAAAGGCGGAAGAAAGATATTTGACAACCTTATATTATAATGTCCGGGATGAAAATTAAAAGTTATTTGACCAAAAGTACAAAACAAACAAACAAAGTGTCCTAAGGTTTCCATGTATTGCAAGTTAAAGAAATACTAAAGTCCGCATGTCAACTGCAAATAATTCAAAATTTCAATATCAAAGTGCATGAAACAGTTTTTACTACATTTTAGTAAATTTTATCTAGTTTTTAATAATGTTGAGATATTATAATGTCCGGAATGGAAATTAAAAATAATTTGAAAGAAAGTAAAAAAATGTCCTTAAATCATATCTTGTAAACTATAAAAATACTAAAGTCTGCATTTCAACTATAAATTATTCCAAATTTTGATACTCAAGTGTATATAACAGTTTTTACTACATTTTAGTAAACTTTGTCTAGTCTTTTGCTAATGTAGAAAAAATACAATGTCCGAAATAAAAATCAAAAGTTACTTGAAGAAAATTAAAAAATCCAAGATCATTTATCTCAAGTATTGAAGGCATTAAAGTCTGCATTTGATCAACGAATTATTCAAAATTTCAAAATCAGAGTGCATAAAACAGTTTTTATTAGATTTCAGTAAATTTTATCTAGTTTTTATTGAAGTATATAAAACATAGCGACCGGAAAAAAAATCCAAGATATTTAAAAAAATGTTAGAAAATATCCAAAATTCACACCGAGAATCCTATATGGCGGCGAGAGCAGTAAAGACTTTGAGACCCTTGTACTCTGAAACTATTAATTTTACTAAAAACCATTTATTGAATAATTTGTAGGAAATTTTATCTAGTTTAATTCGTTCAAAGCTACTTTTATCGTAGAATGAGCCGGAAAGGAGATATTTAAAAGAAATCCGCAAAAACTCGAGGTCGCAAAGTTGAAATTCGTAGAACACCTAGAAATCTATAAGATCACCAATTTTTAGAATTCCCGGAGTAGGGAATGCAATACCGGTATACCGAATTACCGGTAAACCGCCCGATTTATATTTTTACATAAGTATTTTTGGTATTTTTACATAAGCGCTATTTGATACATAATACACTAAAGTTTAAATTTCTCGGAACAAATTTATCTTTAAATTCCATATTCGCATAAACAGCTATATCTTCAAGTGATTTTATAGGATAAACAAATGTCAAATATTATCTCAACTCGTCATTAAACTGAATATTTATTGCTTTACTAAGGGTTTCATATTGTGTTACAATAAACAGAATTGGACTGATAGATAATGATGTTTGATTCATCTTATGTAAAAATGTAATTTTTAAGTGATATTTGCGCCAAAATATTTTATATCATACAAATTACCTCTGCGTAATCTTTATTTTTTTCTAACTTATACATAATAAGTATGATAATTACTTAATATTTTTGCTTCTTATTACAATTATAAAATATTATTTTTCGACAACGTTTCAAAGTTTGAAAATACTATAGAAGCATCACATTGTTTTAAATAACAATACTCAGCAAATATAGTAACTTATTTTTTATCTCGACAAAATATCCGATCTTAAATTAATGTAGAAAAATTATTTTTTTAAAATATTGGAGATTATGCTAATTTAACACATCGGACACAGACAATACAGTTTATTATAATAATAAGGTAATATGATCTTTTATGATTTTTTTGTCTTTCTTACTCATAAGTTTGTTTTTGGTGAAAAGTACTCAATATACTCGTTGATAGTGATAATGAATTAATTAAATTGGATATACTTTTGTTAAATTATTATTTAAAAAAATAAACTTATTGTTTTATTTTATCGTTTAGTTGAATATAGTTGTAGTTGTATACACTTTTTTATATTTGTACTAGTAACTTTTAATTTTGTTTACGTTTTTTTAAGATAATAAAAATACTGGTAATTTACCGGTATTCCGATTTTAAAATGATAAATTACCGAAATAGTCCAGTCATTTGGTCGTTTTGCCGGTACAGTACTCCGGGAATTCTGAAAATTGGTAATCTTATAGATTTCGAGGTGCTCTTTACGAAAATCAACTTTGCCACCTCAAATTTGAACGGCAAGTTGCCGCCATATTGGAAAAATGGCGTCAAAAAACAGCTTTTTTAAAATATCTCCTTTCTGGCTCATTCTACGATAAAAGTATCTATATACGAATTAAACTAGATAAAATTTCCTACAATTCTTTAGAAAACCGTTTTTTTGTAAAATTGATGGTTTGAGAGTACGGCCGCCTCAAAGTCCTTGCTGCTCTCGACGTAGTATCAAATCTCTCCATATATGACAGCACTTTGAACTTGGCCACATTCTCTCTAATAAATAGATATTTTCAATGTTAAATTAAGTGAATAAGATCTAGAAACAAAATAATTGGTTTAACAAAATTAAAAATATTGAATAAATTATAGAAAGCTTTCTCTAGTTTAATTTTGTTTATAGCTACTTTTCTATTGAAGCTATGTTAAAAAATCAGCAAAAAACAAAAATATTTGAATTATTTTATTTTCTGATCTTATTCTCTTAATTTAACATTGAAAATATTTATTAGAGAGAATGTGGTCAAGTTCAAAGTGCTGTCATATATGGAGAGATTTGATACTACGTCGAGAGCAGCAAGGACTTTGAGGCGGCCGTACTCTCAAACCATCAATTTTACAAAAAAACGGTTTTCTAAAGAATTGTAGGAAATTTTATCTAGTTTAATTCGTATATAGATACTTTTATCGTAGAATGAGCCAGAAAGGAGATATTTTAAAAAAGCTGTTTTTTGACGCCATTTTTCCAATATGGCGGCAACTTGCCGTTCAAATTTGAGGTGGCAAAGTTGATTTTCGTAAAGAGCACCTCGAAATCTATAAGATTACCAATTTTCAGAATTCCCGGAGTACTGTACCGGCAACAGCCTTTTTTTTTTACCAAATGACTGGACTATATGTATGTTAATGATATGCTTACCTTTGTCTTTCAGGTTCCAAATTCAAAAACAGTGCTCGGCCGGCGAATGAGACTCCAGAAAGCAAAAAACTCAGGAAAAAGGCTGTTAAAGAAGCTCAAGCCGAGAAGAGGCAAACTAAAATGAAGAAGCACGTTAAGAAAAGAAAAGAGAAGTCAAATAAGAAAAAATAACAACAACAATGTTCTCTCTGATATTAAACAGTTTATTATATAATAATAAAGTATATTAAATAAAATAACATGTTCAAGTTGACAAGTTTACATTAATGGCGTTATCCTCGAAATCCTCCCCTCGGCAAAATATAAACTTGAACAATTTTTGAACTCTAGTTATTGTTTCTTTAAACTTAATATTGTAATTTATACTCTTAATATAGCACTTGGTTTGTTAGTTGATTTCAACATCACTACCGCTCTCCTCGGACTCTTCTTCGTCGTCCACTTCTGATAGAGATCGTTCTTCGTCTAGTCCTAAACTGGATTCGATTAAGTCTTCGACGCCTGTCGAATAGAGCATGTTTTCTGGGATTTCTACGATGTTATCATCACACTCGTCGTCGTAGACGGGCATCAGATAGTCTTCGGGCCTTATACCTCGACCAAGCTCTAAGGAGATAAAGACACATGGAAATCAAATAATTACCTATAGATATAGATTACCAGGTTTAACCTAGTTTATTACCATATATTTATTATAATACATTATTATTAACTTCCTGAAGGATAAGTTTATGTTTTCATCTAAAAATCCGATTCGCAAATTTTATGTTTTCTCGACGTTTCAAGCCATTCTGAATCGAATTGGACCGAATTTGGAAAATGTGTGTGTGTGTGTGTGTGTGTGTGTGTGTGTGTGTGTGTGTGTGTGTGTGTGTGAACAGATTTTTTGCCGAAAATCGACGTTTTCTCCAAAACGGCTGGACCGATCTCAAAAATTTAAAAGCCATTCCATGTATCTCAATGAGGACTAGCGTTTCTGAGTTTTGTGCGACGATCCGCCAGGCAGTTTCTTTGTAAATCGCAGAAAAGTGAAAATTTTTTCGTTCACGTTCGAGCCCGCAATTCTGAATCGATTTTGAAAATTCAAAAACCGATAGATATTGGTTGGGAATCGTGCTGATTAGTTTTTGGTAGAGATCGGCCGGGCCGTTTTCTTGTAATAAAGTTTTTTTTAAAAAAAAATCGGCGATTTTTATGATTATTTTTTGATGGTAGATACTATAGTCTTCTAAATCATACTAAAATATTACGGCCCTACGACAATTGGTTTAAACTTTGAAAATTCGTCTAAGTTTGCAAAAATTAGTATCGTTTTTTGGCATTTGTCAAAATTAGACCTTTCATCGACGTTTGCTAAAAAACGCCTGAACCGATTTCAGAAATCTAAAAACCATTTGATGTATCTCGATGAGGATTATGGTTTCTCAGATTTGTGCGACGATCTGTCGAGCCGTTTCTTTGCAATTTCAAAAAAAGTGTTAAACTTTTCGTCCACATTTAAGCTCATCCTACCGAACCGATTTTAAAAAATCAAAAACTGTTCGAAAGATATTAGTTGGGAATGGTACTGATTAATTTTAGGTGAAAATCTACCGAGCCGTTTCCTTGTAATTAACTGTTGAAAAACAAATTTAAGCCGATTTTCATGGAACTTTTTTTGGCGATATATATTATGGTCTTATAGAACTTACTGAAATATTACTGCCTTACAACAAGTAGTTTAATTTTAAAAATTCATCAAAGTTTGAGAAAATGAATAGTTTTGTTGACGTTTGTTAAAATTAAAATTAGACGATTTACTTGGTATATCGATAGAGTACTTGGTCTTAATAAACATACTAAACAATTAAAGTCCTACAAAAAACTGGCTCAATTATAAAAATTATTGATTTTTGAAAATACTCCATCCGGGTTGACATGTTCGATTTATAATAATGTTTAATAAATCCACTTCGAATACTTTTAATTACTCATAAATTAATTTATCTATCATCGATTAAGTTGGGAAGTCAGTTTGGTATATTCTTGTTATTATATTTTTACAAAACATAATGCGATTGTAATGCCAAATTTAGTTTCAAATGCCCGATTATTAAGGGGGTATTCTAGTGTAGAGTAATGAGTGTAGAGTAATAAATGTCGTAAAAGAAAGCAATGAATGTTTTTACTATCCATTTTTTACCACTTGTAAAATACAATACAAAAATTTAAAAAAATGTTGAAAATTGAAGTAACTGGAAGCTGATAAAGTGGGGGGTCTCAAAAAATGGTTACCTCAGTCATAAAAGAAATAAAAAGATTATTAATCCACAATGATGTCGCAATCGGCCGAACTAGCGATGAGTACAAAAAAAATATTTTTACAAATTGGCGACTGTTTGAAAAAAAGTGTCTCTTTTACTGTTTTTTTTAGTTTCTTGAATTTTTTAAAAACAGTAAAAAATGGAATTTTTTACTCAACCTCGCATATCTCAAAAACTATTGAATATTCCAACTTGAAACTTTTGTCAAATATTTAGTAAAGTATAGTAACAATGTATGTCAAGTTTCATCAAAATCGAATTACGCAGTTTTGAAAACGTACAATCTGTTTCAATACTAGTATTTTTGGCGTTTTATGGCGAAAATAATTGAATTCGAAAACCGGGTTTTTAGTGAAAAAGTTTTCACTGTATAAATGGAAATTGACAAATATAGCCAAAATAATGGTTCCCAGAAAGGTTTTATATATATTAATTTAGGTTTTTATACCAGTGTATATATTAATTTAAATCAGTGTGACTTCTTCTACTCAAACTTAAAAAAAAAGTTTTAAACCCTAGAAGCCGCAAATAAAAGAACAACAAACTTAGAATTATTATATTAGGCTTTAAAAACAATTAAGCATAATTTGGTCGCAAGTATGAGAGTATTTTCTATTTCAAGAAATTTGTTGAGTAAACAAAAGACAATAGCAATTCGATTGACCTTCTAAGTTTTTTTAAATCATATTTTATTAAACAAAAAAACAATTAGAATGTTTAAAATTAATTAATTAAAATTGCGCGGAACAGACAATATACGAGTTTAGCTTAATTGTTTTTAAAACTAAAATTGATATTAACAAGTATGTATCAACATGTATCTAATATATATGTATCTAATATATATGTATCTAATATATATGTATCTAATATATATATATATATATATATATATATATATATATATATATATATGATTTTTTTTAATTTAAAAATGTATTATTTTAATTTATTCGAAAACTTTCCTTTCATATCATAAAAATATTTTTATTCTCTTATGTAAAAATTATGCATGAATAACAAATAATTATTTTCAAAGTTATTTAATCAAGATAAACTATTATTTTTTAGTTCTACTAATTAAAATTAAAATAATTTTATTTACTATCTATAAAATTGAACAATAAATAAATTCAGTCAAATACTGCTCTAAATTACACAAAATTTGCGGATAAATTACAGGATATTCGAGCAAAAATTTATTTTTTATATAAAATTCGAAAATCGCTTAAAACCCGTTTTTAAGTAAAATTAAAATTCGAAAACCGGTTTTCTTAAATGTCGGTTTTCGTATAAACCCTAATATATATATATATATATATATATATATATATATATATATATATATATATTAGGTTGTCAAATATCTCCCTTCCGCCTTTTTGTATTATAAACCAAGAGCAAAAAAGCGGAAGGGAGATATTTGACAACCTAATATATATATATATATATATATATATATATATATATAAGTGTATCAATTATCATTGTCTAGGGTTTATTACCTTCTATGTAAGACTCCAATGATTTGGGCACCATTGTCTTAGCTTTAGCGATATCTTCTTCCGTAGATTCACCTTTGCTTAAACCTAAACCAATTTTAATTAGACACATTGTATATGTTCAACAAGTTCATTGGCAGTGTGCACTTACCTAAATCTAAACCCATTCGCTTCAATATTTCAATATCATCCTGGATTTGAAATTTGTCTTCGAAATGGAATAAATATTCAGATCTAAAACAAACCATAAAACACATTAATATGTAATAGAATTATAAATAGATATTTTATAAACGCATACTTACTTGTCGTTTGATATGCTACAATCTATGTTTGTTTTCTTATCGGTATTAACAATAATAAAAGGCAATTCGATAGTTGAATTCGCGTGCGGAGTGTGGCCCCGTTCCTCGGCTCTTTTATTTCTTTCAACTAAACTTTTGAAGGACACTTGCTGAAATTGACATAAACCAAAATATAATAAACCTCATTTATCTAGTTGGTTTGGTATTTAGCCTTGAGGCAAGTTACATGAACTTTCCGATATGTGTAAATAATTGACTTAATCAAAAAAAAATGTGTGATAATAATATACTTCACCAATCCTACTTTTAAAAAAAACGATAATAATTTTAGCAAAGTTTGACGAATTTTTAAAATTAAACTACTTGTCGTAAGGCCGTAATATTATAGTAAGTTCTATAAGACCATGATGTATATCGCCAAAAAAAGTTTCATAAAAATCGGCTTAATTTTTTTTTTTCAACAGTTAATTACAAGAAAACGGCTCGGTAGATTTTCACCTAAAATTAATCAGCATCATTCCCAACTAATATCTTTCGAACAGTTTTTGATTTTTTAAAATCGGTTCGGTAGGATGAGCTTAAATGTGGACGAAAAGTTCAACACTTTTTTTGAAATTGCAAAGAAACGGCTCGGCAGATCGTCTCACAAAACTGACAAACGATAGTCCTCATTGAGATACATCAAATGGCTTTTAAATTTCTGACATCGGTTTAGGCGTTTCTGAGAAAACGTCGATCAAAGGTCTAATTTTGACAAATGCCAAAAAAACGATACCAATTTTTGCAAATTTTGACGAATTTTTAAAGCTAAACCAGTTGTCGTAGGACCGTAATATTTTAGTATGATCTAGAAGACTATGGTATCTATCGTCAAAAAAATAATCATAAAAATCGTCGATTTTTTTTTTTTTTAAACTTTATTACAAGGAAACGGCCCGGCCGATCTCTACCAAAAACTAATCAGCACGATTCCCAACCAATATCTTTCGAACGATTTTTGAATTTTCAAAATCGATTCAGAATTGCGGGCTAAAACGTGGACGAAAGACTTTTCACTTCTCTGCTATTTACGAAGAAACGGCTTGGCCGATCGTCGCACAAAACTGACAAACAATAGTCCTCATTGAGATACATCGAATGGCTTTTAAATTTTTGAAATCGGTCCAGCCGTTTTTAGAGAAAACGTCGATTTACGGCAAAAAATCTGTTCACACACACACACAACACACACACACACATACTTTTTCCAAATTTGTTCTCATTCGATTCAGAATGGCTTGAAACGTCGAGAAAACATAAAATTAGCGAATCGGATTTTTTGATGAAAACATAAATTTCTTCTTCAGGAAGTTAATAAACCTCATTTATCTATTATTATTATTATTTACCTGTAATATGAGATCATGTAACTGTTGTGTTTTGCCTTTAATTCTTTCGAGACGTTTCATTTTGTCTTTTTCCAGAAGTCTGCATTCCTCTGCAGAATTTGTAGGTAATCCCAACCACCTAATTTCTTTTTTTTCTTTTGAGATAATATTCATGGCCATCAAGACGTTTAAAGCGTCGTACACTCTTCGACGAATATTCTTTTGATCGTATTGCTAAAATAAAATAAAATTTAAATAAACACCAATAAAATGATAATAAAATTATGTTTTTTTCCTTACTTGGCTTTCGGGACTTCCCCCATGTAAGCCGTACGTAAATTCAGTAACAAGTTCATCAGCGACTTCATTATAAGATGTTGTGCCTTTGTTTCGGACTTTTTCACAAACTTTCATAGAAAAATGACGAAGACCTTTGCCGACTTTGTCTGTTTTCCTACGTTTTGTGTTACTGCTGATGAAAAAAAAAAACAAAATAATAAATACATCTTTTATCTTAACATAGCAGGGTAAAAATACCCTTCTATACCCGGATTTTTTACCGAATTTATGTTACTAATTTTAAAAATCAGTATACATGTGATATTGAAATAGTTAGCTAAATTAGCTAGGTAGATTTTTTTACATCTCTTAATACGTGGTCTGTTCAAAAAGTACCCGGAATTTTCGTATATAAATATAAAATATTTATTTATTCGTCTACATTAATGTGGTCCCCTTCAAAGTAGTCCCCCCCAGATATAATACACTTATGCCAGCGTTTTTTCCAATTTTCGAAGCACCCTTGATATTCACTTTTTGATATGTCCTTGAGCACTCTCAGCGATTTTCTTCAATCGAGGAAAACCGCCGTCCTTTCATGGGTCTCTTCAACTTTGGGAATAGGAAAAAGTCACACGGAGCCATATCTGGTGAATTTTTGCACTTTGCAACACTTTATTTCATTTTTTACGCAAAATTTAATACAAATTCTTTGACTTTTCAATTCTTCCATTGTAAAAATCGCCGAGCTCAGAAAAACACGTCGAACCTTAGCGACTACCACAGACAAAGCAAACAGTGAATATAGCTGAAAATTTCATCATACTTTAGGGGCATGTATACCAACACAATAAAAAAAAAAATTTTGACAATCAGACACTCCAGACCCGCGAAATTTAATTATTAGTAATTCCGGGTACTTTTTGAACAGACCACGTATAACTTAAAATTTTTATCCTGAACATTTCAAATTGTATACATCAATAAAAACTAGATAAAATTTACTAAAATCTGGTATAAACGTGTTTCTATACACGTATATAATAAAAATTTTGAATAAAACTTGTTGAAACATTTATTATCTGGTAATATATTTCTTAATATGTGAAGGTCTTTAGACATTTTTTTTATATTTTTTTGAATATCTTAGAAATTTTGGTCTGGGTAATTTATTTTATAGACATTGCTAAAAACTAGATAAAATTTACTAAAATTTAGTAAAAACTATTAATTGCACTTCAATATTAAAAATTTGAGCAATTCGCAGTCGAAATGTAGGCTTTAGTATGTAATTACAAAAAAGATACATGAATTTTTCTAGATTTTGTCAAAGAATTAGAAAATTTCAATTTGGGGACTTTATTTATATTACTGAAAACAAGATAAAATATACTAAAATCTAGTTAAAACTGTTTCATACACTTTGATATTGAAATTTAGTAGAATTCGCAGTGGAAATTGCAGGCTTTATTAGTATGGGGTATGGATTTTTCTAGATTTTGTCAAATATTTCTAAAATTTTAATTTGAGGTCTCTAATTTATTTACATTATTAAAAATTGTTTATTGCCCTTCAATATTACAATTCTGAACAATTCGTACTTGAAATGCAGACTTAAGTATGGAATTACTAATAGGATTTATGGATTTTTCTGAATTTTGTTAAATAATTCTAAAATTTATATTTGGGGTCTCTAATTTATTTACATTATTAAAAACTAGATAAAATTGACTAAAATCTAGTACAATTTGTAATATACACTTGGATATTAAAATTTTGAAAAATCGTAGTTGAAATGCAGACTTTAGAATGCAATTACTAATATGATATATGGATTTTTCTAGTTTTTGTCAAATAATTTGGAAATTTTTATTTGGGGTCTCTAATTTATTTATTTTATTAAAAACTAGATAAAATTTACTAAAATCTAGTAAAAACTGTTTCATACACTTTAATAGTAAAATTCTGGATAATTCGTAGTTGAAACGCAGACTTTAGTACTTCTATAACTTGCAATACATGAATTTGGGTCATTTTTTTTACTTTTGGTCAAATAACTTTTATTTTTCATTCCGGACTTTATAATATATTAATATTAATAAAAACCAGATAAAATTTACTAAAATCTAGTAAAAAGTGCTTCATACACTTTGATACTGAAATTCTGAATAATTCGTAGTTGAAATTTCGGACTTTAGTATTTCTATAACTTGCAATACATGGATTGCGTACATTTTTTTACTCTTCTTCAAATAACTTTTAATTTTCATTCCGGACATTATAATATGTTAACATTAGTAAAAACTAAATAAAATTTACTAAAATCTATTGAAAACTTTTATATACACTTGGATAATAAAATTTTGAATAAAAGGAGTCAAACAGAAACTTTTATATTTTGACTCTATTGTATATAACATTAAAATTTTTTTAGTGTATCAATTATCATTGTACTTACTATTCAGGTGTGTAATCATTTTCAGGTTCGTGCCTTTTCCTGGACCCTGTGTGATCCAATATTCCTGGTGAAATAATCTTTACACCATTTGGAGTCACTTGTACATTATTCTGCATAGCAATGTCCGATGCATTTAACGAACTGTTATTCATTTGATTTGATTGTACTGTAACTACTTTTTGTTGGGTTTTCATTGGCACCATTTTCAAGGCAGCCTAATAAATGATAAAGATAAAAAAATAAAATAATATATCTTCAAGTTTTTCAATGGTTTTAGTTTTTACCAGTTGTTGAGGTGTTAACTTCAAAGTTTTTTGTACAAGTTGTGGTGTCCTCTTGATCGGTGTATTTACATTGCTGGTTTGTTGAACTGGCAACGTAACAACCCCTGAAACAATTTAAAAAAATGCATTAATACAACCAAATACATTTTTCTATATCAATTATTACTTACTTGGTCCATTTTTTGTTTGTATATTTACTTTACGTATGACTTGAGCAGTTGCAGCACTCCCAGCAGAATTCTGAACAAAAAATACACAAATATAAATTGCAATTTAAATATAAAGTATAAAATTTTATATTTTTATTACTTGTACAATTTCTTGGTTGTTTTGTGCTGATAGCATATTTTGTACTGCCGAAGCAGTTACCAATTGTTTTCCAGTTCCACCACTATGCAGTACTTTAATAATTTTTTGTTGACCTAAAATACAAAAAAACAGATTTATATATATAACAAATATGCAAAAATTTATTTTGAAACCTTTTCTATAATAAAAAATAAAATAATAAATTTGTTATACAAGTTAAAACTAGTTTACCCTAAAAACTGATCAATCCTTAAATTAGTTTGAAAACGTTTTATGAATAAAAAAATAGTTTATGAAAACAAAAGGAATTAAAAAAAAACTAAATCGTTTTATACAGAAATTATTAGCGAGCATATATAGAATTGTCTACTATATATTATATCAATAAAATTATTAATGTATTTTTGAATCCACAAAAAATAAATAGAAAATTAGTAAATTAAAGAACACGATATATAAAACGTTAAATACAATAATATATTGGCAAATTAAGAAAAATTGATTATTTTATACAGAATTATTCAAGTAAAATCATCGACTAAATCTATTTTTAAATCATTTCAATCATTAAAAATGTACAAAACCAGAAAGGCATATGAATTGTGTTTCTAAAATTTAAATAATGCCTTTTGTTGTGTTACTAAAAATACATAGTAACTGAGATTCTATAAACAGTTTATTTTGTTCTTATAATATCGTAAAAAAATTATATTCTTGTATATAATTTCTTTTTCTTAGTGAAAGGAGTTAATAACATAAAGAGTCCTTTTTTTTACTTTTCTTCAAATAACGTTTAAAAAAATCAAAATTAAAATTTTGATATATTGATATATTATTTAATATATTGAAATTTTGAATAATTCGTAGTTGAAATGCGGACTTTAGTATTTCTATAACTTGCAATACATGGATTTAGGACATTTTTTTACTTTTCTTCAAATAACTTAATTTTCATTCCGGGCATCATAATTTGTTTGCATTAGCAAAAACTAGATAAAATTTATTAAAATCTAGTAAAAACTGTTTCATACACTTTGATATTGAAATTTTGAATAATTCGTAGTTGAAATGCGGACTTTAGTACTTCTGTAACTTGCAATACATGCATTTAGGACATTTTTTACTTTTCTTCAAATAATTTTTAATTTTTATTCCGGACATTATAATATGTTTACATTAGCAAAAACTAGATAAAATTTATTAAAATCTAGTAAAAACTGTTTCATACACTTTGATATTAAAATTTTGAATAATTCCTAGTTGAAATACAATAAAATGATATACGTTACTAAAAATACATAGGATTTGAGATCCCGTAAACAATTTATTTTATTATTATAATATATCGTAAAAAAATATTATATATTTGAAATTTCTTTTTCTCAGTGAAGAAAACGTGTCATAAATAGCAAAAAAAAATAAAAGGAGTTAATAATATCAAGAGTTTATTATTGTATTCTTATAATCTCGATAAAATTTATTATATTTATATAATTTCATTTGAACTTCGAGCTAACATTAAAAAAAGTGAAAATAAAAAACAAAGAAGTAAATATATATATTTTTTAAAACTTAAATAAATCAGGATAATAATAAATTAATTATTTTGTTATATTTACTATTATCTTTCACTTAGTGTTTTTATTCAACTTCATTATTATTCTAATATTATTTTTATCATTCAGAAATTTTATTCATTTTACTTATTAATATTATTATTATTATTAGTTGCTTTTATTTTATATTAAGTCAACATACTACGGATAACATTTTATTGAAAAGTCTATCCTTTATTTTGTGTTCTTTTTATTAAATTTATATAATTGTTCATTACTGTTACTTGATGTTAATTATTTAGCAATTGTAACAAATATAGTAATAAAAAAAATTAATCAGGATCTCCCATGATTCATCAGGATTCATGTATTATGTTAGAAAATAAAAAAAATCGATGAAATTCAGGGTTAAAAAAAATGTACAAGAACTTGATAAATTGAAGAGTACAGAAAAGCTAGAACCAACAATTGTTCTAATAAAACATACTAAATATTATATAAATTAAATATTTCTTAAAAAAAAAACTTGTATTTAATATTTATACGTTTCAACACCACAATTCTAAAATAAAGAATACAATTACACATATTTTATCAACAAAATGTTATCATTTTTTGTTTTATAATTGTAATTATGTTACGGTGTTAATTAAAATATCAAAAAGGTTTTGGTCTGTGTCTTGCAAATTTTAATATTTTAATAGTGCATTTTGGAAAGAAACAAGAAATACTATGTAAATTAGTATACAAAAACAACATTATACTCAAACAATTTATTGTATTCTTTTGTATTTTTTCTTTAATTATCGATCTATTAAAAAAAATAAAAATTATCAATAATAAATTGAACAAATAATTATATATATATATATTAATTATATATATATATATATATATATATATATTAGGTTGTCAAATATCTCCCTTCCGCTTTTTGCTCTTGGTTTATAATACAAAAAGGCGGAAGGGAGATATTTGACAATTATATATATATATATATATATTATATTATGATCTCACGAATTACGCCGTATACAAAATGATGACATACCAAACATAACCCTACATCTTCAGCGACGCTCACATATCTCCCACAAAATCACGACAAAAACTTGAAATTTAGCAATATGTTCGACATTTTAATTATTCAATTTAAACATATTTTTACACTAAATAAACTAATAAATAAATATATAAATAAATGATATTTTTAGCTCCAACATACATATACAAGTGTTCACCTCGAGCGCGCCTCGATTGTGTGCATTGATAAAACAACAAATGGAGAAAATCTGTGTATGTTATCAATTTCCATACTCATATGTACAGACATATTATTTAGAAGAAAATTAGTAATTTGATTTGAATAAAAATCTTGTTAATTTTAGTTAATTATATACTGATTTTGTACCAGAACGCTTCAAGATTTTTCTATATGTAAATGAATTATTAATTACAGTACTGTATTTAAAAGTGAAGAGTCTTTGGGATGTGTTAAAGGAGGGCTCTAAAACGATTTTTACGAACTAAAGTGTATGAAGGAATAAAAAAGGAAAAAATCAGAAATGAGTACAAAAAACTTGAAAACAAACACATTCCGATATAATAGTTTTGAATAAAACGACTTTGTATTCGATATTTCATTCCTTAGCAATAAATAGAAAATTCACGACATTTTTTTGGTTTTTGCTAAATAACTCAAAAATTTCATATGGAACCATCCCTTTTCAGTTAGATAGGGTGAAACTAGATAAAATTTACTACATTTCCTGGGACACACTTTTATACATTCCAATATAAAAGTTTTGAATAAAACGATTTTGAATTCGATATTTCATTCCGTAGCAATAATTAATAGAAAATTCGGGGTTATTTAAAAACAAAGAGTACAATAAGCACAAAACATAAACAATTATTTAAAACGTTGAGAATTGGCTTTAAGCGTTAACAATTGCTATAAAATATATAAGGGGAGCTCAAAATAGATCCAATTCCAAGATAAGAAACGACCAAGATTTTAAAACAAAATATCTTACAAATAAATCTTGCAAGCACCCAAAAAATCTTATAAAAATCCAAGAAAATATTTTAACTGCAAGATTTTTACAAGCATCCAAAAAATCTTACAAGCGCCCAAAGAATTTTACAATCTTTAAAATTGTTTATAAGATTATAGACATCCAAAGAATCTTATAAGCATGTCCAAAGATTTTTACAAGTGTCCAAAAAATCTTAGAAGCTCCCAACATTTTTCACAAGCGTCCAAAGAATCTTACAAACATCCAAAGAATTTTACAATGGTCCAAATAATCTTACAAGCACTTCCAAAAATTTTAACAAGTGTCCAAAGAAGCTTATTATAAACATCCAAAGAATCTAAGAAACAAAAAGCGCACCAAAAAATTTCAACAACTATCTAAAGAATCTTACAAGCGCCCAAAGATTTTCACAGCCGTCCAAAAAATCCCATAAGCCGTCCAAAGATTTTTTTTACATCCAAAAATCTTACAAACGTAAAAAAATCTTATAAACATCCAAAGATTTCTACAACAAAATTTCTATAAATAATCTTACAAGGCGCTCTTGTAAGATTCTTTGAACATCTTACAAGCGCCCAAAGATTTTTAGAAACACCCAAAGAATCTTATAAATATAGATTTTTTTTTACATGTGCCCAAAGAATCTCATAAGTACATCCAAATATTTTCACAAGTGTCCAAAAAATCTTACAAGCGTCCAAAGAATATTATAAACATCCGAAGAATGTTATGAGCGCACCCAAAGATTTCTACGACCAAAATGTTCAAAGAATCTTACAAGCGTCCAAAAATTTTTACAACTGCCCCAAGAATCTTATATGCTACCAAAGAATCTTAAAAGCTTCCAAAGTTTTTTACAGTAGTCCAAAGAATCTTGCAATATTACATTGAATCCTACAAAGCGCCCAAAAAATCTTATGAGTTAAAAAAATCTCACAAGCTTACTAATATTTTTACAATCGTCCAAAGAATCTTACAAGAGTCCAGGCAACCTAAATGTTTCCTAAAGAGCCTCCAAGGAACCCTAGAAGGCTCAGAAATTCTAAGAAGACCCCTAACCATCAATAAGGTTCCACAGGCACCCTAAAATGCAACCGAGGGCTCAAAAATGCTACTAAAAACTCTACCGAAAGCCCTAAAAGAGATTGTAAAACGCCCTAAAAGACAAACAAAGACCAAAAGCATTTTTGGAATCTACAGATTCTAAATAACGTCCAAGGTAGTAGAATATGTCATACATATAAAGATATATACAGAGTGTCCCAGAACTCAACGTCAAAAATTTAGAAAAAATAATTATGAGCTTAGTAAGTGCAACATAGAGCTTGTAAATTTATTTACACCATTTTTCGGTTATTGTGATTGATTTTGTTGATTTAAACTTTGAATTTACTGTTTCAAAAAATAAATTACTAAATAAAGTTAAAATAAAATTTCTGAAAAATAATAACACAATTGTCTCGAGTTTCAAAAATTAAAACTTTTTGTTAATAGCTGAATTCAAAATATCTTTTGGAAAAAATGCACTCAAGTGTGATGGCAAGTTGCATTAAAAGTTGGCGAATTTGTAAACTGGTAAAATGCTTGATAGTTTCATAATAATAATCTAGTATATATATATATATATATGTATATATATATGTATATATATATATATATATATATATATATATCATCTTCCCACATTGCAGCAACTATATAAAGAACATAGTATTCTTATACTAAAAGTATAATTATAATTTTCTATTTATAAAGTAAAAGAATCGCGAAATTACGGTACGTGGGGCTATATATATATATATATATATATATATATATATATATATATATATATATATATATATATATTTAACCAGGAGCATTGAACCTCAATGATAAAAATACTACAAAATATGTATTACATAAAAAAGAAAATTATTGCAAAAAATTAAATTTGTAATCATTTCAAATAACTGATAAAATAATAATTCACAGAATTTAAGAGATTATTCTAATTCTAATATAGAAAATGATTGTTAACATATAAAAACCCTCGATACACTAAATTGTTACCTCATGTTTTTGAAAAATGTATTTCAAGAGCACAATTATTACAATTTTCTAATAGAATTATTACCTACTTTATATTATCAAAAACTTCAATTGTTATTTAATGATAAATGAATAATTTTACAAGTTCATACAAACTCAAATGATTATAAAATATATGCAAACTATAATCGATATATAAAATTATACAATTATAGAGAGTTCTTGATGAAAAGGCCAATTACGATAAATTTATATTGCTTTTTATATTATTATTGGCAATAATTATGGTTTCATTTGCACTAAACAACAAGAAATTTTAACATTTGTTTAGTTAATTAAACTGACCTAAATTACCTATCTTTACAATGCACAATGATTTAGAATTGTCCAATTTATAAGAACCGTCAAAGAAAAATCTGCAACATTAACGAGTTAATTTTGAATATAGTTGTTTCCAGGAAAAAAAATAATCAATTGTATAAATACACTCAAGTTTCGTAAATGACAAACTTTCATAATTTTATCTTATACTTTCAAAATATTTTACTATAATAAAAATTTAAATTTATTATAATAAATATAGAGACTAATTTTTAACTTTTTTGACAAATGCAAAGAATATAAGAGCAAAAATTTGTCTGGCTGTTTGATATTTCAAGTTTAAAAAAAATTTAAAAATACATACAAAAATTTCAAAATATTGTTAAGTTATTAATGCTATTCAGAGAAAAATATTTTGAAGAAAAATATCACTACCGAGTAAGCCAATTCTATATTTTTAAGCCCAGAAGGATATTTATATAAACGAAGGAATATGTTTGGACCAATAGAAATATTTGTAGATGAATTGAATTATTTCAAGGCCAATTTATAGGAGATATTTTTATGCCGAAGTAGGACTAGGTCAATTAAATTCCTGTATTATCTTGACCTAAGTTTGTATTTAATAATTGGATGGGCACCTGAAACAAATCTATGAAGTTACTAAATGAATACCAAAGTTGGGTATTGGTGGTTCGATTCTTAATATAGTTTTTGCCAATTTTATATTTATTGTCTTATTTTTCATATGATGACTATGATTCTATAACTCTATAATATTTATTTGGGTTCCTGAAAAATTATAAATAAAATGATTTTATAGAATAAATGCTATTTTGCAGAATAAATGTTAAAAACAGTTGCAATATTAAAACTTTAAAGACTTTAATTACTGTTTCGATGAATCCAAGACAAAATCAGAGTTCAAATTAAAATTGTTCATGTTCACTCAGTATGACAAAATTGTATGTCAAACAAAAAATGTAAAACTTTTTATTTTAACTTGATAGCATGTCCTTTAAGATTTTATTACATCAGAATTTAATATTCTTATAAGTGCATGTGTAAATGCCATTATATAATTTGAAACTTCAGTCCCTGGGGGAGCATAATATATATACATCAACCACACAGCAGAATTACCAGCAAATACCAAAATATCTGTGCTATACTGTATTTATATTTAAATAAAAACTAAAAATCATATTTGTTAAATTTGTTTCCCCCCAAGCGACCATTGCGCAATTATATCAAAAAGTTCAATTACAATTGCACATTTCCCGCCATTTTAACAAAATTGTTTATAGCAACGATTGCGCCAAATTAACGTTAAAAATATAATTTTGATTAGTAAATATAAATTTTCAAATAGTCAATAAATATTTATGAAAAATATTTCAAAGTCCAGATGTCAACAAAAAGGCAAATATGTCATTGACAAAGTTGAGCCATCTTGTATTTCGAAAATAATGGTCAATTTTATCGATTGGGATAAAATAATAAGATAAAATTAAGATAAACGATAAATATAATTTTATTACAATGAATAGAGTATATTTTGCTTATATGATTTGTTTGAAAATTGCAAGGAATTTTTGTGGAAGTACTTGCTTTAGCAAAGGCATATGGAGTTGTAGTACATATTAATAAATGTTTAAGAATTTTGGAATATTATTGGATAATTTATAAGTAGTTGTTTAATTTATAATAAATTCGTATAGGTATATTTTAATCCCTAAGATTCTGTTTCTAAGTCAAGAACGTGCTACAAATATCACTCACCGTTTGCATCCTGAATAATCAGATTCATTGTATTTTGTTGATTCATTTTATTAACGCAAAATCTAAGCGCCTGTAATGCTCAACAGTACCACGATAATTTAAATTTTTCCGCTAATTCTAAGCTTCTCTATATTGTTTACCACACATAAATCAACAAAATGGCGCCTCCGAGAGCATAATTTTTCAACGGGCAAACAAATTAAAATTACTGCACCAAATCGTTCCATTCACAGACACAGTCGTAAATAATATTTCAAAGTTTGATTTTATCCAAAAACATCGCCCGAGATCACATTTTTGACGCATACGTGGCACGTCAAAAAAAGGGTATTTCGTGCAAATCGTCCACAAATAAGCTTGGCGCCTTGAAAAACACTACGGCTGGCACACACTCACCAGCTGATTGGCCAATGAGGCTCACGTGTGCTAGATGGCGCCAACACGGACACGAAATGACCGCGAAAACAATTCAGAGGAATAGCCATAGAGAGGCGGTGGTAATAGACTGGACTAGGCGAAGACCGACGGTAAAAGGAGGAACTAGATTGTCATTTTTGAAGTGAAACTTCTTTAGGCACAAACTGGACGATAATTAACTAAATTCTATTACAAAATATGACATCAAGTTCGATTTTCATCATTTACCATTCGATTTTTATATAATATAGATTTTGCCAATAGAGAGTCCAACTTTTTACGTTGAATTAATTCATTGTAATATTTTTACTTTATTGTAGTATTTTAAATTTGGCGTTTTATACTCATTCTAGTATTTTTCACGTTTATTGTAGTATTTATACACTCATTATAGTATTTCTACACTCATTGTAGTATTTTGTTCTCATAGTAGTATTTTTACACTCATTGTGTATTTTTGCACTCTTGTAGTATTTTTACACTCATTGTAAATAAATAAAACTCATAAATGTAAACTCATAACATATTTTGGACTCATTATAGTATTTTTACAGTCGTCTGTATTTTTCACTCATTGAAGTATTTCTCTACACTCATTGTAGTATTCTTCTACGCTCATTAGAGTATTTTACGCTCATTAGAGTATTTTTACACTCATTGTAGTATTTTTGCACTCGTCGTGTAATTTTTACGCTCATTAGAGTATTTTTACACTCATTGTAGTATTTTTACGCTCGTCGTAGTATTTTTACGTTCATTGTAGTATTTTTACACTCATAGTAGTATTTTTGCACTCGTGGTAGTATTTT